AACCACAGTTTTTTTCTTTAAAGTGAACACAGCAAGTTACGAAATTTATTGAGAACGCGGACGTACGTTGATATTTCACTCTAGTACTATAGCAGCAACAAGTTACCTATTTAGTATGCATTTCGAGAAATCACGGCGAGTGTGCATGCGCAATTTTGAACGCAATAAACTGACGCGTAGAACTCACTCCAGCAAGCAACTAGTGGCGTCCAACTGGTTGTCGGTTGAAATGTTTTTCAATAGACACAATTCTAGGGTCTGTATATTTCTGTGTGATGTTTCTAAGTTTCGTTGAGGATTGTTTTGTAAAAAAATTGCTAAAATGATTTTATCTATTCGTAAAAGGACGTTGTTTATACCTCAATGTCTGCACACGACTGACTTCGAAACGTTCCATCCAGATCGGACGGCGCCCTCACGCCCCCCCCCCCCCCGACGTCTACGTCCACTGTGTAACCACGATATTTGCAGCAGTCGAAGCGATCACATTGAGGGACGAAAACAACTTAAACTCTCGTGGCTAGCTCGCTCTCAACGAGATCTCGACGACCATTTGCGACTGAGGTATATTTGCTAACAAAAAGACATTTTTGTTCTTAATGATGCCTGGAGACAGAGAACAGGGTCATTGTTGATTTGGTCCAATTGGGGTTTTCCATTTATCGGATAAATCAGGTCGACTTGAGAACGGCAAATGGGGTATTGTGAATGCCGGATGCCGCCAAAGAATGTTAATATCATCACAATCAACTCCCGGGCGTATGCTGACACTGTACAACTCTACCAACGCCAACGTACTGTTAACCTCAGAATCCGTTGAATCCTTGATTCACTGAAATTTCCGTGGTTAATATTTTCGAATCATTTATTTATTAGAAATAAACGTTTAATAAACTACATGATGAATTTCCTGAAACATAAGCTGCAAAGAATTCTTCATCTGTTCCAAATAAAAAAAAATATTTCGACAGCGGATAATTGAATTGAAACGCAATTTAAAGTTTTAATTTTCGAATTAACGTCAGTTTTCCTAAAGATTCAAATATACAGTTTGCAAAGCAGATGCTAAATATATTTCCTGTGAAAAGTGATCAATACATAATCAATTATCGAATCAGGTTTTTGATAAAATAATTCTGAGGAATGATAATCACGATAATGTATGATGCTTTTCACATGAAACTTGTTTTTTTTACATTCTATGTTTTTTAACTGTTTTTCATTTTTGTAAGTCGATAATACTTACATGATGTAAAAAATTATACTAGTATTTAACAGCCTTTTTTTCTTTTTTAATGTGAACTTTCAAAAAAAATCAAAAAAATGAATCATGTTCAAAAATCAGATTAAATTAAATTGCGATTAGGAAAACATTTAAAGCACATTATCTCACTTTCTCCCTACGTCTTGCAACATACTATAAAAATGGGTTCATTGTCATTTTCGACAGTCACGATGTTTGAAAAATTTTTGAAAAACGTTAGAAAATCAAAAACATTGAAGAAAACATGTAGACAATATGACGCCCTGGTCACGTGATTTGGATTTAAATAAACATACCAATCTCAGTACATCGGTTTTATCATAAATCGAACTTTTTTGGTTCTCTTTTAATACACTGTTATTTTGACCAGAGTGGTGATTTGTTTGTGAAAACTCACTTTATGTGGTATAAATATAGCTGTGTCTTACCTTAAATTTGAGTCAGTGTCCGAACTACGGCAAACAGGTCAGCTCGGATACGATCGTGCGATGAGTCGACACAGTAAGAATATATCGACGGAGTTAGCTGTTCCACCATTTATACTTACAGAGCAGCAACAAGTCTAATTTTTATATCGTTCGCTATTCCAGGAATTGAACATACACTTTGTTGTGGCTTGATTTTGGTTTCAGCATTGTTGATGTCATTTGTCCAGTTAGATAGCCAATCACGGTATGTAGTGTACATACCCGCACTGTGGGGGTGTTTGGATAAATGGGACATTCCATTAAGTACATAGGTATGCTAACTAAAAAAGTCGTATTGTCGTGATAAAAAGCATAAATGTTAGTCCTGCTCTTTTTTCTTGCATATCCATTCTAGTGGCGGACTCCCCCCCCCCCCTCTGTTCTAAGTTATCATCAGCTGGAATCGCAGAATTACAATCGTTATCGAAATTAAGTTCCATTTTTTTTCAGAAAAGGTCATACAGACCGGTGCTCATTATATTGAGAATATAAGAAAAGCGAGAAATCCTATAAGATACACCCCTGTGCGCAATTGTGCCTACTACGATACACTGTTAAATTCCCTCGGTAAATGTACGGGTACAAAATTCGTCTTTTAAATGAAATACTAGTAATAATTTGTCGTGGGAGTATACGATAATTACGTGCACGTACTGCGCACATATTGTAGCATAGAGCTGACAATTGCTTGGTGGTGCCGTGCTGCACACCAATCATAACTCGGTATGCAGTAGTACGGTTTTCGATTTTTTAAAATAACATTGTTTACGTATACTTTAAAAGCTTGGAGTGCCAGAGTTGATCTCATCCTGTGAAAATTAAAGCGCGGTGGTCGTCGCGCAGCGCGTGCTCGAATTACATGTAAATAAACAGTGCATTTTACACGCGTTGTATACGTCGCTATGAGTCCCATATCGAACAGGACGCGGCACGACGACTGCCGCCCTTTAATCATATTTTAACCGGGGACTGCAGGCTGCAGTTTCCTTCTTCTTTGTTCCTAAAGATGTTGAATGATGCGTCGGTCGTCACACGAAGCATAGTAACCACTAGAGAAGGTATAACAAAGTCACTCTAGCATCACAAAAGGACTAGATACAGACGAAGATTTAATCAGTCCCCCGTGGAGTCACGTGATTTTTATTGTATCTTTACGCCTGTACACACTCCTACTCTATCTCGAGATCAGTGTGAATCAACTATCAGGGGTTACCCTATCTAATAATGTCAAATGCCAACGTTCTGGGAATGTTTGAGTCAGCAATGAAGGCGGTCATAATTACAACCCATTCATCAGTCTCTAGCAAATACAAGTATGTGGGAGTTCCCTGGAAGTGTTCACTTCAATCTCAGAGAAAGAGTTTAACAATAACGGACGGAAATTAGAAACCATCGCTGCGTACTTTTAATTTGTTTGTCGTAGAATAGGCGTTAGCACCATTCACTTTGTGCAGTTGACGTCGTACATATTGCTGGTATATATACTGGTCGCAACACCGGCAATACACTAAAGAACATATCTTTTTTACAGACCCTATTGTGGAGATGTTGTACCAGGCTATATTGTTGAGCATAAATTTAATTTAATAATGACCCCCAACACGCCTGCAGACAACAAACGCATATTAGAAAATTCCGTTTGGCGTTGCTGCTCTCTCGTAAGATGAAAATCGTTATGACAAACTACTAACTTGTGTGCCAGCATGAGAAGGAATGAACTGATGTGGAATTCATAAGCCAGTGACGCCATGTTAGTTGACCGATAATAAAATGATGTGGCTTACACTGTAAGTCACGTGTTTTGAATAGCTAATTCGACAACAAATAAGTTTCAGTTGTTTGGTTCAATACTGTTAGTAAAAAAACAAAAAAACACCGATCATTAAATAAATTGAGGTGATGGTTAAAGTAGAACGGTACACTAACGTTATCGAAGTACAAGCACTATGTGTAATTTTCACTGCATACTGATATTTATTTGAACAACATCCCAATTTGCACCGTCAACATTTAAATTCTACATTTGAACACGTGTGTTCAGGCAGTTTTCAATAATTTCCAACGCGTTAAAACAACAAAAAAACAAGGCGTTGATTGGACAAATGGCACATTAAAAAAAAATGACTAGTTATGCTCATTTCCTGGCACGTCACTGATTTCAACATTACGATAAAAAAAAATCTGTTTTGGACATTGTAAATTTTTTTTCGTTTTGATAGAGGAAAATGCAGTATTTTTACCAAGTAAAACTTTTAATTGAAGTTATTTCCCATATATGATTTGCTGAACACTGCAAGCTACACATTTTTTTTTAACTTTATTCAGTTGCTTTCAGTCATGTTTCAAGATAAATGAATATCGAGTAAATATTTATCAAGAATATAACAAATTATTAAGTTTGGTCTTTAATATTCACAAGTAATCAGAAATTATGAAAATTATTATTGCTGTGATTATAGAAGACATTTCGTTATAAAATATTCTTGATATATATCTAAATTCACTTGTCATTTTTTTTTCAAATAAAAACAAAAGAATCACATAATGTCGAAAACGGAAAATTCTTATCGTAGTGATGAAAGTCATATATTAAAGAAGTTACCATGAACAATATCTTACTTCTGAGGAATTTGTAATAGATTTTACATTTTAGAAATAAATCAAGAGCCACAGTATGTTTGCGTCTTCAGAATCAAGTGCCTTATGTGTTTTTTTCTTCCTAGTACCAAGCTGACCCAACTTGATTTTGGGGTTTTTATTTTGACTCAAGACGCTTTATACATGATCATCCTTATTCATGGAGGGAACACTGGTCGTTACGCCGCGTCGTATCTGATTGTGGGACGTGTAATACTAGTACGCGAGTAAAATGCGTGGTTTGTTTACATGCAATTTATTAGGATCAAATGGCCGTAAGAAAGAAATAATAGTTTTTACAGAATGTGAATATGTCTCTGCCGAACGGACTGTAATAAATACAACGATGGAGGGCGCAACTATCATATGAACACAGACAATTATACAGTTTAGGTAAATTGTTCACAGCCATCTCCAGCTTTCTTCAGTATATAGGTAATAATAAACCATACACGAAACGGAAACATATTCACATGCAGGTCCATTTTATTGGTTTTAGATACCCACTTTTAGATTTGGAGGGAAGTGAATTTGAAAACTGTTCGCACACAATAATGTCACTAACCACGTTCGCTATTTTTGTCGTCGAATTTGTCACATTTTTAGTTTGTGTTTTTGGTGGGTGGTTTTTTGGCTTGATTTCCTGGAGTACAAGCTGCGATCAAATATAATATAACCATCTTCTTCGAAACTCAGCAACTCTGAATCAAACCATCATAGTAGTTAGGCCTCAGCATTATGACTCCTGTACCATCTATGAGAATGTCTTGATTAAGCTAACAGACTACTCACTGTGGTTTTATCTCGATCTGGGTGCATGAAATCCTTTTCTTCCATGTTTAATAGTTGTTGACAGTTTCCAATTGCGCTGTTTGGAACCTACACAAATATGAACACAGATAATTATGCTTATATGGTCTTTAAAATTGGTTCAAATTGGGTTGAATCAAATTTACTTTTTACATAAAAGCGGAAATTTAACAAACTAGTCGTCAGGTGTATTTGTGTTCACAAATGTTCCCTGCTACCAGTTGTAAGTGAGCCAAATATTGTGCGATATATTTCATTGTACCCGCATTTAAATCTGGGAATCGCCATCTACGCAAGAAACAGAAGGCAACAGCGTATCATGCAAGCGTCTACCCATGAATCATTGCGCTTTTAGCATGCATGGTTATCGTCGCTTGGAACTCAATTCCCGCGCGTGACGACCCGTCCGCTTTAATACTGATTGTTTTACTAAACACAATATTCTTACCTTTGTCATTGGGGTATAGAACGGATGGTGGTGTTCTAAGACCGGGTTGTTAGACGCTCTGTTGTACGTGCAGATTATGGCCCACCGTCGGCGACCACTTCGATTTTGGTCGCTACGGTGAAGAACGTTGCTATGGAAATACAACGCATCTCCTGGATTTAGCGTGACGTAAACCAATGGTAACGCTTCCATCACTAGTTTGACCCTCTCCATGTCCGCACCAGTTTGTCCTCCGATTATTACATGGTCAATTCGACCAAGTTTCTGCGAGCCAGGTATAATCTAATAAAACAAGAATAGTTTAGTTTAATTATAGCATATATGTAGCATATCTGATTTCTGTCCATTTTTCCACACAAACTCTTCATCCGAATGGCACTCTGAGTCGATTATGTTTAAATCAATACATTCCACAGTGTAGTGTAATGTGTACTGCAGTGCAGTGCAATCGCTGTATGTGGTGCGGTGCACTTCAAT